AGATAAATTCTTAAAATACAAAGCTTAATAGTCCAGGTCTTGACTGAATTATGAAGAAACAGAAAATTTGAACAGAAATGTAATTAGTAAAGAGACTTAATAAGTAATCAAAAACTTTCTAACAAAGAAAAATCCAGGACCAGATAGCTTCACTAAAGAATTCTATCAAATATTTAAAGAATTTAAGACCAATTTTCCTCAATGTCTTCCAAAAAGATGAAGCGAAGGGAATAGTCCCAGACTTATTCTCTGTGGCCAGTATGACCCTAATATCAAAGCCAGAAAAGATAATATGAGACAAGAAATCTACAGACCAATATTCCTAATGAATATGGATGCAGAAATCCTCAATGAAATACTAGTAATCAAATTCAACAGCACATTAAAAGGATTAGAATCACAACCAAGTGGGATTTATTACTGGTTTGGAAGGACAGTTTAATAAAAAAAAAAATCAATCACTGTACACATTAACAGAACGAATGTCAAACAAATGCAAATGGAGAGTGTCTCCAAGGCTGTGATAGCAAAAAAACAGGTGAAAAGAACATTCCACTCAACTCTTCTTCTCCCTACTCAGGATCTCTCAAGTTTCTTCAATTATAACAGCTCCAATTAAAGTACATCTTCCTTGTATATTAGACTTCCATTTAAACCTTTTCCTGAAGCAATGGGGAACTGGTGGAGAATGTTAAGCAGGATTGTGACATGATCAAATTTGTGTTCAACAAAGGTAACTGACAACAGTGTACGAAATTGGTGAGACTGGAACCACAGAGGTAAGTTAGAAGGATACTGTAATTTTTGAGAAGAAGGGATTAAAAAGGGCCTACACTAAAGTCAAACAGATGTAGAAAAAGGATCATATTTAGAAGTAATCACATCAAGATTTAGTGCCTGAGTAAACATGATGAAGTGAGACGCTGAGCATGATCATGAAATACTAAGTAGCTTAGATGATGAGGAAGACGGCAATGACATTAAATAAGATGAGTAAACATAGGGTAAAGATGATTTTCTAGAAAACAGCTAAAGGGTTGGTTTTAGATGTACTATGCTAATGGGACAGCACTCTTGCAAAAAAAATCACATATATTTCAGATATAGCAGAGAAAATATTTAGCCACTGCTAGCTAAAGATAACAGGTAAGAACCAGATTGTGTGTCAGATTCATGGTATCACAAGATATCAATCTCCCCATGCCAGTGACTCCACATAAGTCACTGTGTGAGTAGAGCCTTGGTCATCTATCCTGAATTCATTTTCATAAAGCTATAAGAAATGATAGGACAGAGTGCTATATTTTGTCACAGGCCAGATCTCAAGCATCAACAACACAAGAAAGCAGTTAAGGAAACTCAAATGCTTCTGAATTGAGCCATCAATAGTGGTGTGTGCCTACAGTCCCAGGTAATTGGGAGGCTGAGGCAGGAGGACTGCTTGAGCTCTGGAATTTGAGACTAGCTTGGACAACACAGCAAGACCCTGTCTTAGAACAAGACAAAACCAAAAAAATCTTATGAGTGGCAAATGATGGTCTAAAGCTTAATAAGCCAGGCAAAGTCAATCTTAGATCCTTACCAAAAAAATCATGTGAAAAAGGGCAGCCTACTAAACATATTATCATGATAAGAATTGAGAAATAGCAAAAGGAACTATGATTAAGGAAACCAGATACCTGCACCTCTTTAGTTAGATATTTTAAGGCATAGTAATTAAAGTTTAAAACAATAGCCATGAACTTAATTTTTTTTTAGTACAAGCTAGTTCCTAGGTATTGATTATTGGAAAGTTTTTTTTAATCAATATAAGTTTGTTTTTTTTTAAAAGTTTGAGTTTAGGGGCTTGCCTGAATATAGGCAAGCCTTATTAACCTAAAAAGTTGAGGATATAAATCTGACAACACTAAAGGAAGAATGAATTACTTTACCTTTCCCAGGTTTATATTTGAGATTAAAAGGCTGATTCTGCCAGATATAGGGGACTAGGATAGGTGCAAACATGGTCATTATTCTCTCAATATACTTCTGAAGAATTTCTTTTTGTTTCTCTGGGTCCCTTGATTCATCTGGTATCAGGAACAAGTGGTACTCCACAGTGTCTTCCAGTGTAACAAGCTTCATATTTTCCTCCATTTTTCCTTGAAAAGTACATTAAAATTTCGATAGTATAAACCACATAGAACAGTGCAGAAAAAACGTCCCACTTCCTAAATTCTTCTAAATGACTGCATTCACATCTGTTTTCTAAAGTACTGTTATCCATACACTATTGTCATGGTTTTTGCCTTGACTATATACCATTTATAGTAATTTTTACTTCATATTTTTTAAAGACTTTTATGCTTAAAACTATGTTTTATTACACTTAAAAATAGATTAAAAGGAAAACTTGATATTATACAGTGAATGGAAACCCAATATCACATTTCTACACTAATAAAGTTGTAGGAATAAAAATTTAAATGTGGTTGGGTACAATGGGCATGCCTATAGTCCCACTTAGTAGGTAGGTAGAGGCAGAACCATCATGTGAGTCCAAGTTAGGGAGCACCCTGGGAAACATAGCAAGACCCCACCTCTTAAAAATAAATAAATGTTTGCCCTTGTACTAGCAGCGGTGTGTGTAACACAGTTTGAGACACACTACACTGACATCCACTGTTTAAATACTACCTAAAGTCCCACTTCTGCCTCTAATTAGTTGCGTTACTTTAGGCAGTTCATTTCCCCTTTCTGGAGTTTTCTCCTTAATTGTGGAATGGGAGTGTGACTTTATCATTTCTACAATCTCTCCTGCTTTAAATTTGTGCCCTTTATATGCGCTAAAGAACAATCTCCCTTACTCTACAGAATTAAAAACTTTCCTTTTTACGAACATTGTATGGCATAGTAGAATACAAAACTACAAAAGATGTCCGCTCATTTCACCCAGAAATAATTTACCCACGATTCTTGATCTCACAACTCTGTCCTAAATCTGTCCCCTTTTCAAGTCTCGGGGGTCAATACCTTTGTTACACCAAGAGGTAGTAGATACTTTTCTAAGAGTTTTCCTTACAAATATAAGGACTAGTTTACTATTGCTGTCAGGTGATGTTCAGTAAACGAAGGCACTGCACGGGAGGGACCATCCTAACACAGCGATTCGATTCTTCGGCTTACTCGGCTTTCTAATGAATTCCTGAGGAACTGCTTCTTCTATCCGCACACCCACTCGCTGCGATCAGCTCACAGCATCATTCTGCTTTCAATCTAGAGGGACAACCAATTCTACCCACCCACCCCTTAACGCCAAGCACCCACCTTTATACAGAATTTACAGTGTCAGGATTGGCCTTGAGATCACTCAGGTTAAGACCTCACAGAACAAACGAGAAAACCCGGAGCCCTGAAAGAGACGCGACCAAGCAGCAGGGACCTGAAGGTGTCTAGCGTTGTTTACTCAAACTAGGTTTCTCATTTCCATTAATTTTCCTCTTACGATTCTAGGCCCTCTCCTGTGCGCTTCTGCTGTGGGACCTTTCCTCGGCCTCCTCTTCCACTTGAGAGCTCAGAGAGCGTGGCCCAGGATCTGTCTCCACCGACCCGAGACTAGCGGAAATCTTAAGAGATAGCCTGAAACCCATCAGTTCCCGGAACCTTGGGTGTTGTCCTTGCTGCGCTTCGGCCGAGGCATTTGGCAGGTGCCCGCGTATTCGTCACTTCCGCCCCCGCTAGGAAGCTGGGAGGACGGAGGACAGGAGAGGTGGGAACCCTGGGACGGTAGTGATCCCGAGTCTAGGCGACGGGGCGAGACGGAGCCGGTAGGTGGTGGGAGGGGGCCCAGCCGGAGTCGGCTGGAGTGCCAGGCCCGGAGGCCCCCACCCTTGCGTACCTGCCCGGGCCGCGGCTGAGGAGGAGGCAGAGGAGGAGGATGATCTCCAGATACACTCGGAAGGCGGTGCCGCAGAACTTGGAGCTGTGAGTGGACTGCTAATCCATCCCAGCCCGCGAGGCTGAGGCGGGTCGTGGGCTCCCTGGGGACCCTCCATAACTAGTCTTTCTCGCCTTTTTTCCCCTGGGATTGGGAAAAATAAATATTGCCTGGAATTCTCTCTTCCCAGCCTTGGTGGACACTTGTCCCTTCGCCTGCAACTGAGGGCGTGTCTCGCGACCTGTAGCCTAAGACTTGATCTCTTGAGCAGTACTAACTGATTATAGGAACTGGGTCTCCTAAGGCGTTTGTAGTTTCTACAGTGCTTCAGGCCCCACTACCAATGGTAATTGACAACTGGAGAAGTTATTAATAATCGAATGTTTCAATAAAGTTGAACACCTCAAGTGCCAGACACCAATGCAAATCTGTTTACATGCATTATCTGAATCTTTCCAACATGGATATCAGATTGAGTATTTTATTTTGGACATTCTACAGATAAAGGTCCCACATTTCAAGTAACATGCTAAAGGTTACACACAGGGGAGGTAGTGGAGCTCAGAGGTACAAACCCTGTGCAATCTGACTCTGAACCCGGTGGTCATAATCATTATATATACTGCTTCCCCACCTCTTAAGCATCAGAACTTAAAAGAATCAATTTTTCGTTTTAGACTAAAAAGCAAGTATTTCTAACCTAAAGACCCACTTCTTGTCCTTACATAATGTTGTAATTTAGCAAGTAATGCTAATGTCTTCCCATTACTAAGTCAAAGTCCTTTGCTTTTTGACCCTTATAACAACTCTGTAGGAAGGGTTTGATTATCTTCAGTTTTTCAGGTGATGAAATTATATGAAAAAGTTTACTCATTTTAAAGTTTTATAGCCAATAGAATCAGGATTTAGGCCTGGGCTTTAAAAAATTTTCCCCTTTCACTGAACTCTGTTATTTTAGCAGCCATACATCATTTACTAAATATTAATTACACATGGCAAAAACAAGCATATTTTAAGTATGCTGAGTTTCTAGCTGGACTCTTTTCTACCTATGTAATTTTTTGGCAAATTACAAAATCTCTCTGCCTTCATTATCTAAAAGCATGTCTACAATGATGGCATAGGGCTTCTTATGAAATAAATGTGTCCTCAGTAAATGGCAATTTCCTTTTACATATCCACCTTTACTTGGTACAATAGACATACAAAGAAAATAAGTCTAAAATCTCTCTTTGCGTTTCAAAAGCTTATTATCTGTTAAGGAATAGGATATCTGCCCAGTAGCCATTCAGATAATAAGGAACTGGAATGAAGAACAGTCGTTTCACAGTAAAGTGAACAGCATTTAGCTTAAAAATCTACTTTTATAGTTAATTCCAACATACAGAAAAGTTAAAACAAATCTTGTGTGGGAAAAAAACATGAATGAGCAGTTAAGTATTGAATGGATTGAAGTTATTGACCCAGTGTAGTTACATTACTTGTTCTTGGTTGGTAATTTGATAATCCCAAAAGATGATTCTCCATCTGGAATCACAGTGAAGTGAGTAATGAAGATAAAATGTGCATAAAAGACAGTGCAATAAAAGGGCTTTTTAATCAAGATGCTATATACTGTCCTTTGAAGCAGGAACTTTAACTTTCTTCCTAACAATTATAAATTATAGATGTTGAAAAGAGTTTGGGATAAAGAGATTTTCAACACACAGCAAAAATTTTTTTAAATGAAAAATTTCAAACATAAATATATTGAGAATTATATAATGAGCCACCCATTACTCCATACTCAATGGTTGTCAACCTATTAATGTATTTGCTTCATCTATCTTTATCTCTTTGTAGCTTCTCTCTGAAAGAAGGAAAACAAAACCCCCAGGATACTGGTTTATGTTGTCATTTTGTCTGTATTCATATCCTGTACATCTCTAAAAGCTAAGGACATTTTCTTATGAAATCAAAATGCTATTGTTACATTTAGTAATATCTCTTTGTTATTTTTTGTCACTTCCTTGACTAAAAAAAAATGTTTTTAAGTCTCTATTTCATAGCTAGAATCCATATTTCAGATTCCTCCCATTTTATCAAAGATAGGCTTTTAGTTTTAGGTTCACTGAATGAGAGCAGTCCAGATGGCTCTGCAGAAATTCATTTCTACCATTAGAGAAAATTTAAAGGGAAAGCTTTGTTGACCTGACCCTTTGCTTTATGTTTATATATTAAAATGATACAATTTACTAAAGTCTCAAACTTTATTTCCATTTAGAGGCCTTGGAACCAGACTACTTGGATTTGAATCCTGACTCTACTTACTAATCATATGACCATAAACAGGTTACTTAATCCCTCTGGGCTTCAGTTTCCTTCCCTGGGGAATGTACTAAATTTATAATATAAATTTCTGTATTAAAGGACATGGGAAACCTATTATAGAGAAACTTGGGTAGCTTTGTTTAACTAGCCAGTCTCCTCAATTTATTTGACTGCAGAATTTTATGAGGAAGGAAAGTACTGTAGATGATTAGGATTGGAACATATAATAATTGACCCATAGTTTATTCCAGTGCACATGTCCAATAGAAAATAGAAATTCCAGATAAGCAATGTCCAATAGAAAATATGATATAAGCTGCATATGACATTTTAAATTTTCAGGTGGTTACAACAAAAAATAAAAAGTGAAATCATCATAGATTCAAAAGTTGCAAAATTAGTATATAGACCCCCATGAACCCTTCATTCAGTTTCCCTCCGTTGATGACATCTTAGGTAGCTTTAGTATAATTTCTTTTTTTTTTATAATTTTTTTAAATGGGACCATTGTGCTGACCCCCACATATTTTGACTTTTTTTTTTTTTAAAGAGAGAGTGAGAGAGGAGAGAGAGAATTTTTTAATATTTATTTTTTAGTTCTCGGCGGACACAACATCTTTGTTGGTATGTGGTGCTGAGGATCCAAACCGTGCTGCACGCATGCCAGGCGAGCGCGCTACCGCTTGAGCCACATCCCCAGCCCGCTTTAGTATAATTTCAAAGCCACACACTGACATTGGTACAGTAAAGTTAACTAAACTACAGGCCTTATTCAGTTTTCACCCATTTTTACATCCTGTCCTTTCTGTGTGCATATATGTATGCATGCATATATACACATAGTTCTGTGCAGATGGTCTAATTTATAGATTGTTTAACTACCACTACAATTAAGTAGACATCTGTTTTGCCACCACCAAGGAACTTCTTTGTGTACTCTTATTAGTCACATCCCCTCCAGCAGCTACTGCTGTGTTCTCTCTCTATAGTTTTGTTATTTGTGAATGTTATATAAATAGAATCATAGAGTATATATAATTGTGATTGGCTTTGGCTTTATTCACTTAAGCATGATACATTTGAGATCCATCCAGGTTGCTGCATGTATCAATAGTTCATTTCTTTTGATTGCTGAATTATTCTATTGTGTGACTATACCAAAGTTTAATCATTTACACATTGGACATTTGAGTTGATTACAGTTCTTTTTCAACTATAACAAAAACTGCTATGAACATTTTGGGTATGTTTTTGTGTGTGAATATAAGTTTTAATTTCTCTGGTCTCAAATACACAAGAGTTTAACTGCTAGGTCTTTTGGTAAATGTATGTATTTTTTTTTTTTTTGTAAGAAACTATTGAACTATTCTAGCATGGCTACACCATTTGACATTCTTGCCAGTAAATTATTATATGATATCCCGTTTATTCCACATTCTCACCTGCATTTAGTGATATCAGTATTTTTTATTTTAGCTGTTCTGATAGGTGTGTAGTGATAGCTTACTGTATTCTCAATTTTTTAAATTAATTAATTAATTTTAATTAAGTACATATGACAGCAGAATGCATTTTGATTCACGATGTAGTGTTACACCATATGTGTAGTCATACATGTACCTTGGGTAATGATGTCTATCTCATTCAACCGTCTTTCCTGCCCCTATCGGTCCTCTCCACCCTCCCTCTCCTTTGCCCAATCAAAGTTTCTCCATTTTTCCCATGTCTCCCTGCTCCCTGTTATGGATGAGATCCACTTATCAGAGAGAACATTTGGTCTTTGGTTATTTGAGATTAGCTTACTTTGCTTAGCATGATATTCTCCAACTCCTTCCATTTACCTGCAAATGCCATAATTTTATTCTCTTTTAATGCTGAGTAATATTTCATTGTATATATACCATAGTTTCTTTATCCATTCATCTATTGAAGAACATCTAGGTTGCTTCCACAGTTTAGCTATTGTGAATTGAGCTGCTATGAACATTGATGTGACTGCGTTACTATACTATGATGATTTTAAGTCCTTTGGGTACAAACTGAGGAGTGTGGATAGCTGGATCAAATGGTGATTCCATTCCAATTTTTTAAAGGAATTTCCAAACTGTTTTCCAGATTGGTTGCACCAATTTGCTCCCATCAACATTGTGGGAGCAAATTTTTGCCACACACACGTCAGATAGAACACTAATCTCCAGGATATATAACTCAAAAACCTTAACACCAAAAAAACAAACAGCCCAATCAATAAATGGGCTAAGGAGATGAACAGTCACTTCTCAGAAGAAGATATTCATTTAATCAATAAATATGTGAAAAAATGTTCAATATCTCTAGTAATTATAGAAATGAAAGTCAAAACTACTCTTAAGATTCCATCTCACACCAGTCAAAATGTTATTTCAAGGATACAGACAACAATAAATGTCAGTGAGGATATGGGGGGAAAGGCACACTCATACGTTGCTGGTGGGACTGTATTTTCAATTTTTAATGAAATTTCAAGAATATATTTTGTTTAACTAATATATCCAAAATATTTTAATATATAATCAAGATAATAAAATTAATAAGATTGCATATTATTTATGTACTAAGACTTTGGAATCCAATGTGTTATACACTTAAAAAACAATCCGGGGTTCTCACACTTGAGGTAGCTCAAATTTTCTCTTGAATGTATGTCTACTTCCTAAATAAACCTCTGTCTGTGCATTTGTCAAACAAACAAACCAAAAAACCCACAATCAGTTTCAATGAGCCTCATTTGTAACTGCTGCTTGCTAGTAGTGTCCACTGCATTAGACAGTTCCAGAGTTGCAGGAAGTTGGTAACTAATTTTTAGATCCAGTTACTGAAATATATTTATCTTCTCCTTATAGGATAACTTTATTTTATCTTTAACAGGAAAGGAGTAACAAAACATGCTCTTAATCATCATCCCCTTCCAGAGCAACTGGATGAAATTTCCTCTACTAATGATGGCCATGAAAAAGACACAAGTTCCCAAAGGTAATAACACAGAGTGCACTTGTTTGTTTATTGGACTTGCTAATGGCAAAGGTTTTGTTTTTTGGTATCAAGACTTTGTTAACGAATCAAGAAGTTTTATCATCTTAAAAGTCTGAGGCAGTAGGACTGCTTGAGTCTATTAGTTTGAAGTCAGCCTGGGCAACATAGTGAGAGCTCATTTAAAAAAAAAATGGCCAGGGGATGATGGCACACGCCTGTAATCCCATTGGTTCAGGAGTCTGAGGCAGGAGGATTGTGAATTCAAAGCTAGCCTCAGTAAAAGCATGGTGCTAAGCAACTCAGTGAGACCCTGGTTAAATCAAATACAGAATAGGGCTGGGGATGTGGCTCAGTGGCCTAGTGCCCTAGAGTTCAATCCCCAGTAATCCACTGCCCCGCCAAAATCATCAGCCTTCATTGTAGAATAGCTAATGGCAACAACATCATACTTATTTTTATAACCTTTAGAAGTAGTATTATGATGTAGTTAAGAATATGAACTTAGGGGCTGGGGTTGTGGCTGAGTGGTAGAGCGCTCATCTAGCATGTGCAAGGCCCTGGGTTAGATCCTCAGCATCACATAAAAATAAATAAATAAAATAAAAGTATATAAAAAAAGAATATGAACTTAATCCTAGTCCTGCCACTTATTAGCTGAGTAATATTGGGCAAGTTACCTACTTGATAATGTACCTCTTATAGGATATTGTGAATGTAAATGAGATTAAGTATGTAAAACCTAACACTGATTTAAAGCAAATGCTCAGTAGATATTAGCTGCTATTGTTATTTAAAGAAATAGAAGAGAAGAGACTATGACTTCAAAGAGTATTCTGAGAGCAATGTATTATCAAGATTAAAATCTGGAACTAAATGTCAGATTACTTCTTTTTTTAAATGGAGTTACTGGAACTCTGCATCACCAGGTAGTACCAAAGATAAAATGAGATTAACATCTGTAAAAGTACTTGATACAGTTCAGATTTTACTATTAACATTTCTGAAATATCTTTAGTTATAAAGAATATATGTTATAGGTAGAATATTAAAGTATTCATTGTAAGCTATGATTAGAATTATTTGGAAGGAATGCTGTTGGTTTTATAGAAATTAAATAGGAGTTTTCCATGATGCTTTAATTTCAGATTCTTCATTTATTTTCACCTCATTGGATGTATTTGTACACATGCTTGTCACCTAAGTTACTGGGTAGTCAATGCTGCAGAAATTTGAGGAAATGTGAGAATCTTACTTTTGTCTGTCTCCCTCTCAAATTGTGCATTTAGTGAGTCTGACTTCACTCAAGAATCACCTTTAACATCAGGCAACACTGAGAATTCAGGATCTGCTTTTCCAAGTTATACTGGCACAGGGATCTCTACAGAAGGCAGCTCAGACTTCTCCTGGGGATATGGTGTGAGTTGTATGTTATCAGTCTAATGGAGTTCTTGGGAGACTATCCTAGGAGTTAGGATTTGTTGGTATATTTCATTCCTTCACTCTCCTGTATTGTTTCTTTACAAGTGTGGTAATTCCTAAATTTACCACACTTTATAATAGTTGTAAAGAAGTATTAATCCTTACTTACTTTCAATACTTGATGGGTAGTGTTTGACGTGTATATATTACAAAAGAGGACTAAATGTATTTACCCCTAATGTTATTCAGTCATTATTAATTAGGTGATTAAATGAGTGACTTTTGATTAAATTGTATCAATTTCCCATTATAAAAAATTATTTTTAAAAGACTAATAACCTTCAAAGAAAAATTTATGAAAGACAAATGTTATGCATAATTTTACCATCTTGATTCAGTAGGTATTTTGATTTTTATGTCTTCTTTCAATTTGTAATTTGGTTATAATCATGATGTACATAATAGTATCATGCTCTACTTTTCATTTAATATTACTTTGTAAGCACTTTTCCACAATGCTTATTTTAAGTATTTTTTTTTTTTTAGTTGTTGATGGACTTTATTTTATTCATTTATTTATATGTGGTACTGAGAATTGAACCCAGTGCCTCACACACATGAAGCAAGTGCTCTACCACTGAGCCACAACCCCAGCCCCAATGTTTATTTTACACACTATTATTGTTAGCAACCTGCTTTCTTTACAGAAAGCCTAATTTTTAAAACCTATTATTATTACCATGAATTATTTTCCAATCTTTTTTTTAATTTTTTTTTTTTAGTTGTTGATGGACCTTTATTTATTTATATATGGTGCTGAGAATCCAACCCAGTGCCTCACACATGCCAGGCAAGTGCTACACCACTGAACTACAACCCTAGCTCCTCCAATCATTTTATATATATGTAATATATATAACATATATTTTTATATATATTACATATATATACTTTCTTCATATATTTCTATGATATATGTACATATACTCTGTGTGTGCATGTGTGTGTGTACATACAACATGTATGTATCCTATTTTGTGGTCTACTTTTTTCATGTACCATTACTTTGTATAGATGTTTCATCCTTCATGCCTATCTATTTGAATAGTTATATTTCTTGGTGTTAATATATTATAATTGAAGTTTTCCCTTATTTTCTGATATTTGGGTTTTCATTTTTTTGTTCATTCATTTAAAAACATTTATTGAACACATTTGTTTTCACTGAACCTTATTGAGCACATTTGTTTTTACTATACCCATTGGCTTGGGGGATATGGGGCCAAGTGAGGCTTCTAATACTTAATAGTCTTATGAGGGAGATTGACAAAAGGAAATAAGATATAAAAAGTGGTAAGAACTCTAAGGAAGATGACAGGTGCTGAAATAGTAGAGGGGAATTCACTTTATATAGAAATATCGGGTAGGATAGATCTGAGTGAGACTTAAATATTGAAGAGTTAGCCATGAAAAGAGTGAGAAAAAGAACTTTATACCCCAAGGAGAAGAAGTTCATATTTCCAAGGCAAAATGTATGGCATGTTCTTGAAACTGAAGAAAACAATCAGAGTGGCTGGAAGATGGTGAACCAGGGGGAGAAAAGCACAAAAATGAGATCAGAGAGGTAAACAGAAGTACATTGTGTAGGGCCTTATAGACCATGGAAAGAATTTAAATTTTGTTCTGAAGGAATGAAGTTGATGCCTTATATGGAGGATTTAGTGCACTGACTATATGTATTTCCATCATTTCTTTATAAGTTATAAAAATGTCATACAGATATATCCATTCCCTTGCTTTTTTATATTATTTTATTATGTAACATTTTATTTTAATTATTATGTAACAGGTTTTTAAAAATTCAAATATAATCATTTTACTTTCTACCTTCATTTCTTCACTAGTCAGGAAAAATGGAATAATATAAGATTTTTCATAGGTTTTTAACAATTTTTCATGTTTACCTTTTTAATTCACTGATTTTTTTTTTTTTTTTTAAGATCAAGGGTGGGTGCATTTATCTCTAAAGAGCTACATAGTAAATACTTTAGGCTTTGTAGACTCTATCTGGACCTTCATCTCTCACTGTATTCACAAAGCAGCTATAAACTATAAGCAGCTATAAGCTATAAAGCAGTGTGTAAAGAAAGAGACTGAATGTGTTCCAGTAAAACTTCATTTGTAAATAGGTGATAGGCTGGATTTATCCTATTGACCACAGTTTGCTGAACTTATTCCAAATACTACTTATAACAGAACCTTAGATTTTGCTATTATATCTACTCTCCCTATAGAGCTATAGAATTTTGAACATTGGACCAAGTTGAAAATTATATTTCCCAGTCTCTGTTACATAGAAGTGAGGAGGTAGGGCTTTATGGAGTGCAATTTTTTTTTTTCCAGTTATCTCTTGCTCCTAATTCCTGTCTGAATCATGGAACTATGGCTAAAAATACAGCAGCCATCTCAGACCATGAAGTATTAATTGAAGATGGAAATGGTAGGAGAAACTGGGTCCTTGATATCCCTGGAGCCACCATATCAACTTTTTAATTCCTACCTCTAAATTTAATTTTTTATGAGAGAAAATTATCTTATTTAAGCCACTCTTATTCTTAGTAGTATCCAAATGCAATTCATGACTGACATACTCATCCTTTTAAAAAACACATTACAAATACCTTTTTCTAGTATGGGATTTTTATAATTTTCATAATTTTTACATTTAGTTCTTTAATCCACCCATAATTGTCTTTTGTTATGGTATGTAGCAGAGACATAATCCTACTTTTTTCCACATGCATAATGAATTGTTTCAGCACCATTTATTTACTAGGTCAGGATTTCTAAGCAGGGACATTTTGGGTATGGTCAATGTGTAGAAATGTCCCATATACAACAGACTGCTTAGTATATATGATTCCTTCCTATCAAAATATTGGTAGTACCCCATCAATGGGTTCTCTAAAATTATACAAATAAATTTTTTACCTTCTCCTATACATAAGTGATGATATTCCAGTGGAGCTGTTTATTCTTTTCCCTCTGTCTGCCATGCTTACCTCTGTTATAAATCAAATTTTAAAATATAAAAGAGTTATTTCCAGACTCTCTAAATTGTCCTATCCTAAGCTCATTTATTGGTTTTAACTATATAACAATTATAACTATATAACAATTATAACTATATAACAATTATATGTAACTATAGCTGTATAATAATCCACATTGTCTGGTAGTATTACTGAATTGTTCAGTAATACCACATTGCACATAATTGTCTTGACCAATATTTTAATATAAAAAATAGAAAGTTTTTTAAATTGCATAGGTCAATTTGAGAAAAACTGCCATCTTTATTATATTGAGTTTTAAACATGTCCTTGGTATATTAATCTTTCAACTTAATAAAAAAAACTATTTAGATCTTGTTTAATATATTTTAGTAATAAGGTTTTCATTATTGTATCAATGAAGGGGTACTGACATTTGTTAGGGATTAGTTTCTAGGGACTTTGGATGATATAATGTTTTAAAATTATAACTTAAGACTTGTTTGTATTTCTTGTTTGTATTTTTTATCTACTGTATAACATTCAATTTTTATTAACTTTATTTTACTTATTCATACCCTATAAAATTTACCCTTTTAAAGTATATGAGTATTTTTTAGTATATTCACAGAATTGTTCAACCATCATTACTATCTAATCTTACAATGTTTTTATCACTTCAGAAAGAAGTCCTGTACCCCTTAGCTGTCACTCCCCTGGCCCATGCAACCACTAATCTGCTGTCTGTCTCTGTGGAATGGCCTATTCTGGCATTTTCATATAAATAAATTATACTATAGCTTTTTATATCTGGCATCTTTCAATTAGCACAATAGTTTCAAGATTCATTCATATTATAAATTAATCAGTACTTTATTCTTTTTCTTGTTAATAATTTTTATTGCAGGGCTGAGGCTGTAGCTAAGTGACAGAGCACTTGCCTAGCACGTGAGGCACTGGGTTCCATCCTTAGTACCACATAAAAATACAAATAAAATAAGGCATGTTGTCCATCTACAACTATCAAAAAAAAAATTGCTGGGGATCGGATGTACTTCAGTGATACAGTACCTAAAAATTTATTTTAAAAAATTATATTGCATAGATTACCAAATCTTATCTGTTTTTCGGCTAATGGGTTTCTACTTTCTGACTTTTGTTAATAATGCTAGTATGAACACTTGTGTGCAGGTATTTTTGGTGTGCCTATATTTTGAATAATCTTAGGTATATAACAAGAAGAATTGCTAGGTCATATGAAAATTCTGTGTTTAACTCTTTGAAAAATAGATTTATTTTTTGATATTTATTATAATAATTATGATTTTCAAGATTTCTAGTTAGTAAATAAATAATATTGATGTTTTCCTTATTGCAAAGACTTCACTGCAGATATAATCATATGAATGTCAGAGTAGAAAATTCCTTTGAAATGCATTATTTTGTATGTAACAAAATTCAAGGTTTTTTTTAATATATATATTTATTTTTTAGTTTTAGGCGGACACATTATCTTTATTTTATTTTTATGTGGTGCTGAGAATCAAACCCAGTACCTCACGCATGCTACACAAACACGCTACCACTTGAGCCACGCTACCACTTGAGCCACGATACCAGCCCCCAAAATTCAGATTTTGAATTAAAGTTGCAATTCTTTTTTATTTTAAATTTTTTTAGTTGTAATTGGACCCAATACCTTTATTCGTTTTGTTTTTGTTTTTGTTTTTGTTTTTAACGTGGTGCTGAGGATTGAATCCAGGCCCTCACACATGCTAGGCAAGTGCTCTACCACTGAGCCACAACCCCAGCCCTCAAGTTGAACTATTTTTTCACAATTTGAATGACATAATACCCCCCCACCAGATATTTTAACGTGTATTTCTTATGAATAAGGAAATAATGTGTACAAATAAGGACATTCTTCTATCAGAATGCAACTAC